TTAAATTTGATACAAGGCATACATATAAGTTGTATAATCATGAGAAACACTCAATACAACACATATAAAATCCTAAAACATTTCCTACCTCAATTTGAGATGAAAATCTCAAAAGCCACCAAATGGAAACCGCTCCGAATCCGACGAAACTTCTAGGTTTTGTCGGAGACTATATCGTGCACATAACCCCCAAGGAAGCCCCATCAAAATTACAACTTGACTTCAAACCCAAACTCAAAGAATGGTCAGAAATGGGTTCTAATAAGGGTGAAAGAAGCGCGTAGTCAACACGAACATAAAACGCAAAGGCCCTTCTATATTCTGACGAAGGAATGAAGCTCAAAAGAGGAGAGAGAAGGTGGCAGCACCCCTTGGGCTGCCATGGGAGCTCCGGTCATGCATGAAGAGGGGAGAAGATGAAAAATGAAATATCTCACCCCCCTTTTATAGAAATCTCAAAAAGTGCCCCAAACGAGCCCCGCCGGGTCCAAAAAAGTAAAATTTGAGCAGACGCGCTCAAATGGCAAAACTTTGTGAATGAAAGAGATTCAAAATGATAAAATATGAACAACGGAAGAAACGACATCAAAAACTAAGTCCCGAGTAGAAAGTTATGCCCAAAACAAGTTTGGCGCAAACAAGGGCCAAAAACCCTGAAACTGGAAAACAATGACCAGAAGGAATTTCTAAGAGTACATGACTCGACGAAAAGTGAAAATGAATCTCGTACGAGGATCCAGACTCAAAACAAGGCATTTAGCAATAACTTTCATTAATTACACAATGGCCCCTCCAAAAAGTGAAAACTGCACTAATGGCCCAGAATGAAAATATCTTCCAAAAATATTTTCTTAAAAACCCCTGAAATAAAATATCTTCAAAAGATATTTACAAAAAATACCCCAAGAAAAGAAAATAATTTCAAAGAACTTTACATCCATGCCCCTATGGACACCGGGAGTAACCAGAGTACTTTCTTACAAAAGTAAAGATACGTATTTCGTGGAAACCACTTAAGATGGAGATACATGAAGTCAAAAACCAACTCCGAACACAAGAAGTGTGGTTACGCCAACAAAGTGTCAAACGGGGAAAAGACAAAATAGGGAAAAGGACGAAATAGGGAAAATGACGAAAAGTAAATAGTGTCGAAAAATGAAAAATGCGGAAACGACTCGGTCCTCAAAGGAAGTTGTCAATCCACCGAAAAGAGTCTTGGAAATCACTCCAGAGCACTCGAGACGACACTAAGCGAAGAGGAACTGAATTCAGAAAGGAAAGACAACGGAAAAAAAATATCCGTGAAAATCCGGGTCATTACAGGTTGAAAATTTTTAATATATCCAATATGATAGGACTGTGTTGGAGCTATTGATGGAACACACATACGTGTGAAAGTTTCAAAACATGATGTGGCTAGATTTGGAGGAAGAAAAGATTTTCCAACGCAGAATGTCTTGGCAGCATGCAGCTTTGATCTAAAATTTACTTATGTATTGCCTGGATGGGAAGGGTCTGCATCTGATTCTAAAATTTTGGATGATGCGTTAAGGAGAGAAGATAAATTAGAGGTTCCAGAAGGTAAATTAATTATTATTTTTATTTTACAACTAATATGAGTATGTAATTAAATTTTTTTTTTTTTTAGGCAAATATTATGTAGTTGATGCTGGATATGCATTGAAATCCAAATTTATTGCTCCTTATCGAGGAACGCGTTATCACTTAAAGGAATACTCAACTCGTGGACCACAGACACCCAGAGAAATATTTAATCATAGACATGCTTCTTTACATAATGCAATTGAAAGAGTATTCGGCATAGTTAACAAGAGATTTTCAATTTTGGCTACTGGTACTGAACCACAATATGGCTTTGAGACAAACAGAAATTGTATTGGCTTGTTGCATATTACACAATTTTCTTATTGGAGTAAAACCAAATGATACACTTATTGCAGAAGTTGATGAAGATCTCTTGAATGAGGAAGTACAACATGCACAAGTACATCCAAATGTAGATGCGTCTGAAGAAGGTAGACAAGGATCAATGAAAAGAGATCATATAGCTGCAAACATGTGGGTTAATTATTTAGCTAATAGATAGTTGTTAGTTATAGTATTATTTTCATATATTAAAATAATCTTCTGATTTGTTTGGTATCAAATTTAAATTTTCTCCACCTGTTTAAATGTAATTTCTTATTTATCTTTATTTATAGTCAATAAATGGATGATAATTCTTAGTTATTGTTTGGCATTAACATATAATTGTTTAAATCTTTTAAGATAGTGATGCGTTGAATGTTTTTTTATCTTTTCATTATTGTTAGCCTACACTTATTGATGATGGTTTGTAACAGCCCAAAAAATAGATATACAAGAAGGAGATGAAAGAACAAATACAAATGGATATATGGTGTGGACACTTCAAATGGATTTGTATCTTCTTGAACAGTTGCATGAATAAAAACTACAAGGACAAAAGCCTGATAGGAATTTCAACCCTTCCGCTTATGATGTAGTTGTTGATGCTATCAATGCACGATTTCCTGTGAAAGTGAATAAAGATAAAGTGCAGAATCGACTAAAGACTTTAAAACGGAAAATGGATATTGCCCTAGAAGTTTTTAAACGTGGTAGTGGATTTGCTTGGCACGATATTACCAAAAAAATTGATGCAACAAATTCTGTGTGGGATGCTTTAATTCAAGTAGGTAAAAAAAACTTCTTATACATTTTTTTCCCCAATTTTCTTATATTTTAGTTCTAACTTGTGAAGTATTTGTATAATAACAGTCTTATCCTGATGCAAAAAAAGTGCGCAATGCGACACTTTCATGCCTTAATCTGCTTCGTGAAATTTTAAAAAAAGATCGAGCTACGGGGGGAGCAGTTGAAAGTGCGAAAGAAAAAAATCGTCGTTGGACAAATGAAGAAAATGAACGTCGTTTAGCAAATGAAGGAAAGACAATCGAGGACATTGATGACTTATTGGCTAGAAACGAGATTGATCTTGAAAATTTTGAAGACGAATATACAATTCAACAATCCTCTACTGCTTACGTTCCATCTGCATCTGCATATTCATCTTCATCAAAGGGTAATAAGAAAAAGACAACCAAGAGCTTAATAACAATATCAATAATATTACAGGCACGATGAACAAAATTGCAAGTGCTCTTGATAAAGCAAATGTAGTGGCTGAGAAAGCAAATGCGGTGGCTGAGAAAGGCAGACGACAATTTTATTCGGGAGAATAAGTGTTTTTAGAGTTACAAGCGATGGAGGGAATTGACAAAACTTTTTTATTTGCTGGTTATGTTTTTCTTATTTTGGATCCGATAGCTGCTGAAGGATTTTTTGGATGCGCAGTTCATATGCGTAAAGATTGGTTGTCATGGAAAATGACTATGGAGTTTTGAATGGATTTTTTTTTAGTTTGTTTTATTTTATTTATTTTTGTTCAATCTCAGAGAGAAAAATAAAGTACTTTAGTTCATTTAGGTATTTTATTTGTTATTAGGATTGATTAATAATTCAAATAATGTTTGACCATGATGTTTTAGAATATTTGACCAAATTGACTTATTTCACTTTTTTTAAATATTTATATATATGGTAACAAAACATCATGTAATTATACATATTATTGTTTGTATATTTTTATGTATATGTTTATGTATATTTATAGTAGTAATAAAAAAATTTAAGAGTAAAAGAAGTATATTAAAATATTGTTTCATAATATGTGGCTTAAGTTGCCAAAATTATTATAAATAAAAATTATGGTTCAAGTACCAATATATGTCCTGCAAATATACGTACACACATCTCTCTATAAGGATAAAATGGTAAAACATAATATTTCCATTCCAATTGCTTTTTGCATCCAAACATAAAAAGGTAATTCATTAAGTTAAAATTTTAGTTTATTCCAAACACATAAATGAAATTCCATTTTAATTCCAATCCAATTCCTTTTCCAATTTTAAATCCAAATCCCAAAGGATTTGATTCTAAACATAGCGTTAAGGTTTGCTATTTGGACATGAGGACATCAATATACAAATTTGCTATTTTTTTGGACATTGACAATCCCTGGCAGAATTGTCATCCAAATAGGGCCTTAAATGGTTCGAAAAGACAAAAGTGCCCCTTAATATTAAAATCAATTTTTTTTTGTAAAATATCAGACATGTTGAAATCTTGAAATTCCCCTTGAGTTAATATGAGCTACAAAATGGCGTCAATTTATTGTGCTGAAATTCATTAATTTCTTCATCAAGATATTGTAATATTTCGATTGCTATGAAATTTTTACCAATGTTTCCTCTGCATGTCATTTAAAAAAAAAAAAAAAAAAAAATTCAACAACAACTGCTATTTGTAATTTTTCACTTTTTGAAATCATGTTTTTAATTTATTTATTTGACAGCTTTCTGGATATCGGATCATCACCAAAATTTTCAATTTTATACTTCCATAGTTCCGTGAGGGTGAGACTACTTTCCAAAATATTTTTGCTTGCTCCGTTTCGAATTCAAACAAATTTTTTATTAATTTTTTATTCGTCATTGTGTAAATTTTTCTACTAATTCAGTACTTTATTTATTTATTTATTTATTTATTTTTCCATCAAATATGAAAAGCAATGTTCGGTGCCGATTATCCATACGTGAAGGCTGAGTGATATAACATCAAGTCATGTCATCCGTCACCTTGTCAAATGAAAAGGCGAAATGCCACAAAAAGATCTGGTGTGGGCGCCAAGTGATTTATTTACCTTCCAAAAAATAATAATAATATAATTTAATTTGTTTGGTACCGAGTTATTTCAACACACTATTTAGAGATATCCCTAACCGGTATATTCAATCCTGGATGTAGTAAGCAAACACAAGCAGGGAGCAAACCTTAGGTTTAATAACCTTTTAATCATATAAATAAATAATCTTTGGAATGGTTGACAGAGGGTGTTATAGTGGTACGGTGGGTGAAATCTTTTCATAACATTGGTGAGGTCTAGGGTTCGAAACTCATTTCTCTTTTTTCTTTTTATCCACAATCTTCATCTTCTTCCTCATTTTTCCTGAAAATTTTACAGATCGTTGACTTTTCTCATCCCTCGGGAACTTCAAATTCTTCGTATTTACACAGAAACTCCATGGATCTAGATCAGCCCTCTTCTGCTCCGAGAAAGGTACGTTGTTCATCTTGAATTTCTCGGTTTCGTTTTTTTATTATATTTGTTTTCAATTGTTACTCTTCAATTTCATATCATTTCGAAATGATACCTGAGAATCTAAACTCATCTGCAAATTTGTCCGAATTTTTCAGGTTAAATTTGCACCAAAAAATCCTCCTCGCAGGAGGCCAAAACCCATCGAACGCAAAACGTAATTGTTGAAAGACACACTCTCTCTCTCTCTTCTTTTCTTTTGTTTTCGTGTTGTTTATTCAATATTTGGTCTTATATTTTGTTTTTGTGGTGTTTTAAGTAAAACATTTTCTTCTTGTAAATTAATTTTGTTAATATTTGCAGTGAAGCGGTTAATGAAGCTGATGAAGCTGATGATGATGAAGCCACACAAGCTCTCCTTAAACGAGTCCATGTAACTCTCTCTCTATATTGGAGTATATTATAGTAGTCTACATGCTTGTATGTGTTTGCATATGTATATATATAATATATATCCATATGACTTTAGTGATGAACCCATTGAGCTTAGGCTGCTTTAGAATAATTGGAGCTTTTATTATTTTAATTTTTATTATTTTAACTTCATTTAAAAGTGTGTAATGTATTTTATGCTGTTATTTAATTTAATAAAAAAAAAAATTAACAGAAAAAGAAAAAAAAATGTGAAGAAAGAGAAATATATATTTTTTTCAATGGCAAGAAAAAAACTTAAATTATTACCTATATTATTTTTTGCTCATATCTGGACTTGAATTATTCTTTTTTTTTTTATTTTTTTTTTATATGGATAAGTAATAGCATGGACAAAGAGAAATAGGTCTACTTGGTTATGTGCAATTGAATCTAGGAATTGATAAATTAGGCATGCTCTAAATTCAATATATTTTTGTGGGCTCACATCAAAAAATGAGAGTATGTTGTATAAACTAAAACTAAAATGAAATTAATGCAAGAGAAATCAATGTAACCTTAACTATATGGGGCATTAATATTAATTAAACATTATATATGTGTGTGTGTGTGTGTGTGTGTGTGGCTTTTCTATTGAATATTTTCTAGGTGGGCTTTTCTATTGAATCATATCTTTGCGGGCCTTATGTAACTAGTGGTTGGGGCCAGCTTTGCCATTACATTATACGTAGTAGAATACGTACGGTACAAATACGAGTATGGATACATACTTGTGTATTATTCGATTTTTTCTTTAAAAAAATGTTAAATAACAGTTTTTCAGTTGCTTTTGTGTGGGACGTATGGTTGTCATTAGTCAACCCCTCCCCCATTTACTTTACTTTGACTTGAGGTTTTATTTTTAAAAAGCTGTCCAAAAGAGGAGGGGGGGAAGAAAAAAGAGGGAGGTGTTTTCTCGGAATTTATTTCTTCGGATTTGCATCGAAATGACGGATCTGTGGCTCGCTGTGACTGGGAGTCTGGTCTGTGAATGGTGAAGATGGGTTCCTTCATAAGAAATACTATGTTTTTAGGAAGAAATGGTGCTTCAGAATGATGCAGTATTGTATAGTTGTAGAATTTACATTGGAAGGCGGGAGAGGCCCCATTTGCAAAGAGTTACTCCTATAATTCTAACCTGAATTATCAAAACAAAATATAAGAGAGAAAAAAAGGTTGCAAAAACAAAACAAATTTTAAACCATGTTCCAAAAAATTTGATACTTTCCTCTGTTCAAATATATACTACTATTCATAGTGTATGCGTGTGTGTGTGTATAGAGAGAGAGATTAAAATTTTTAATGACATGTTACAGAAAGATCCAAAAAATATCATTTTGCATTTTTCTATAAGATGCTAATTTTGATTGCTATGTATTGCTTGTTTTCTGCATCTCAAGCCATGCATTTGAATTAGAATAAAAATTTTAGAAAGATGTCATCATCAGTAGGAACAATAACTAGTAGCCACGATTTCAAAAAGACATACAATTCTACATAATAATGTTTGTGAGATGACTAGTACATATGATACAGAAAACTTTAAAACAAACAAGAAAAAGAAAACAAAGGAAAAAAAAACATGAGAAGGTGATTGAAACAGTTAATGAATATATGGTTCCAAAACAAAACTTTGGATTTGATCAATGAATGGGTTTAAAAAATAATCAAAATGTACCTGAAAAGCATTTGGATAATTCCTTACAGGGAATTTTGAAATGACTAGCTCTATTTTGTAGTCCAAAATCATGTTCCTTTATATCTTAGTTGTTTCGTCTACTAACTCCCAGACTCCCATATGATATCTCCACATAATTTTTCTTATTTGTTTCCCGATATGTTTGCAGTCACTTTCCTGTGGATAGAACTTTTACAACTAAACCCATATGTACCAGTCACACGAGGGATTCAGATAATATTTTAGAAGTTGTAGTGGACAAATAGGTCTAGCTTTGTTACCTAGTGGTACTCCTACCAATGTGGGTGATTGAAGGGGTAGACTTTATCTGCAATTTTTTTTTTTGTTTGGGGGGTAGATAAGTAGAACACACACACCCATTGTTGTCCAATAGGGGACACTCTCAACCTTCCATTTGGAAGGAGGAGGAGATACCAGTTGGGCTAAGCCCTTGGTGACTTGATTTACATTTTAAAAACAATTTTTCAACATTGGTCACGCCAATCAGTGTGCCATTTGTACAGAACCTATATAATTCAATACATTTTCTTGAATTAATTGTTGAATTTTTGTTTCTGCATGTACAGGAGCATCTGGGGAGACGAGGACCTAAAGTCGAAAAGAAGTGTAATTTTCTGTTGCAATGCACTTGCTAAATTGATTCATTGATCATGTTCAACTATTTTTCTGCTACAAACTTGGCGTGAATTCTTGATCGTATTAAAATTATGCTTTAATGTATTCATGCCATATGCAAAAAGGAAGAGACTCATACAATGGCAGAGCAAATAGATCTTTTGCACATTGTTGTTAATCCATGAACATGGTCTATATAGATGCATAGATCCATGGATCCATACATTTCAATCGGAAAAGAATCAAGAGGATGAGCAACTGTCTCTTCTACAGATCGTGTATTAATCTACTATAACTACAAGATACCACCCCCTTTTCACGAATTCCTGAATTTTTCTGAGTAATCCTCAACAACAACAATTTCTCTTTTGCCTATCTCTATCCCGATTAGCCAAAACCAAAGCTCGTATACTATAAGTTTATAATCCATTATGTTTGTACTCCATTTCTATTTCTACCCTTTACAGCTCAGTAGAGTTTATATTATGCATTTTCAGTTATCCTTTCTTTACTATCCACTTAATTTCTTGTATGCAATACTATATCAATTCTCCTTCCGGTCAATAGTGTCGACCAGGTCCATTACTTTACATCTCAATGTTCTTATATTCCGAGTTCTAATGTAAGTCAATATTGCAATAAGAGTTGGTATATAAATGCTTAAGTTTCCATAACACACCGGCAGTACAGAAACGATTAGGTGCATGTTACTGTGAATTGTAAATTTCACAATGATGAGTTTATGATTTTCGATTTATTTGGTTCCAACTGTCAGTTACTAACACACATGCGCTTGTGTTTGACATTGATATTAGGCATCTAAGAAAGCAACTTAAAAAATTCCTGAGATAAATTAGATGCAGCCATGTTGATGATAGCAAGATATTTGATGTAGAGAAGTTTAAATTGGGTTACACTTGTCATGTAAGATGTCAGATACAGTTCGGATTTTGATATTGTTCAAGATACGTTGTGTTAAAATGTTCTAATTATCAGCATGTTAAATACAAGGGGAATATCAGTACATCCTGGAAAAATTGAAGTTCAAATTTGAATATCAGTACATTTCTATAGTTATTGTTATTGTTATACCAGCCTCACATTTGGAGTTCAAATCTGCAGCTGCAGTGCAAGTTGCATTTGATGGAGGTGTTCCATCAACTTCCATAAGAACATATGGCATACCTAGGGAAAGGGATAGTGGTAAAAGCAGTGGCTCAGACTTGAAAGACTCTACTACTGATGATGGGCAAATTCTCTCTTCATATTCAACTGCTGAACCAGATGGAACCTCTGGAAGGGATTTAAATGCTGAGGATGCGTCATGTCAAAAGAAAAAGAAAGATTATATAGAACCTTGGGTAAGAACTCTTGGCCATTCTCTCTCTCTCTCTCTCTCTCTCTCTCTCTCTCTCTCTCTCTCTCAGTTTTTGTGTTTATGTATCATTTATTGAGCAACTAGTTCCCTTGATGCCAATTCAGGATTACCACCACACTTGCTATCCTACTACTCTTCCTCTAAGGAGACCTTACTCTGGAAACCCAGGTATGTGTTGTCAGGGGCTTATTTGTTATTACTTATATAATGTTGGGGCTTATGTGTAATTTCTTAAACTTGTTAGTATAAATAGAATGTGGTGGAAGGATGAAAGTATTCTCTCTCTCTTTCCCCGTCTCTCTCTCTCTCTCTCTTTCTCTCATCCTCTTTCTTCTCTTTTTCTTCTTCTTCTTCTTCTTCTTCTTATACTTTACTCTTGATTTGATTATCTCTTAAAATCAACATGGTATTAGAGCGTGGTTTGTAAAGCTCTAGGTGAGTAGTTGAAACCCTAGGGCAAGTTTGTTTAAACCCTAGTGGGTGTGAAGGGTTTTGAAGAGATTCCATTTGCAAGGAAGTAGTGTTAATCACATCCACACGTACCGTGGTGAGTTGGTTGGGGGTCGTAGGGCAGTGTGCCCCTGCTAGGAGTTCGGGGTGAGGCCCCGGAAAATTTTTTTTAGACCTATTTTTTATCTATTGCAGTCTCTTTTGGTGTTTTTTTCATGTTAGCGTAGTTCTGCAACTGCGGTTTTTTCTTCATCATTCGCAATTCTGGTATGGTCTACTTTGTTGCTTTCTAGGGTTTGTGTGGTGACTGTGTGGTTGCTTTTTTATGCATCTCAGAAGACGGTAATCTTTCTAGTTGAAGTTTGTGTGTTAGAGAAGGTGGTTCTCCACGTATTTTGTTGCTGCTTTTGTTTCTGGGGATTGTATACCCAGAAGTTGTTTGATAAAATGTTTGGCTCAGAGGTGACTCCAAAAGAAGTCGGGTATTCTCTTAGTCTGACTCCAGTATTGGGAGGTAGTAATGATCACCATCCAGGCCTTTGTATTATAATTGTTAGGCTAGATGAGACGAACTATATGGAGTGGGCTCAATCTGCTCGCATGCATATCATTGGTCGTAGGATGATTGACCATATCAAAGGGACTGTCACGTATCCGTTCAAGAGTGATCCTAAATTCAAAGAGTAGAGTTCAAATAATGCACTAGTTATGATGTGGTTGTTGCAGTCAATGCAGCCACAAATCAGCAAAGGGTTTATGTTTGTGAAAACAGCTAAAGAACTATGGACGACTGTGGAAGAGACATATTCCTTGACTAGTAATTTTGCAAAACTGTATGAACTCCAAGAACAGATTTCAACATTTAAGCAGGAAAACCAAAATTCTTGCTACATATTACCACACTCTACGTGGTAAATGGGAAGAGTTGGATCACTACCAAGACTACGTACCTGTGTGTGCAGCTGATGTCAAAGCATTTCGTTCTATGGTAGAAAGGAATTGAATATATGAGTTCTTGGGTGGTCTACATCCGAGATACGAGCATGCTAAGGTGCAAGTGTTAGGCAGGTATCCAGCCCTTACTTCTGTTAGAGATTTGTTTTTGTATATCCAGGCTGAAGAGAGTAGAATGAAGGTTATGCCTGCACCTACATACACTAAGCCTGAGCTAAAAGTACCATTGTCTGAGAGGTTTGCTATTGCCACACAACAATGGAACAAGCCCAATCCTCCAAAAGGAGGGAAGCAGGATGACAAGAGCAAATTGAGGTGTGATCACTGTGGGCGTACGCGCCACACTAGGGAAACATGCTGGAATCTACACGATCACCTTACTCCAACTCCTGCTCATGCGAATGCTAGGCCAAGTCCTAGTCCATTTAGCACATACTGCAGAGCGAGACTGCTTTTACTGGTCATGACTCCTAAGGGCCACTGAGTTCTTTGTCCAAGGCTGAACTTAATGCTCTTCAACATCTACTAGCTCGAAATACCTCCATTTCAACCTCTAACTTTGCTCAGACAGGTTCCTCTCATTCGGCACATCAAGTTTTCACATTATTTGGTGGGCCACTTTAGATCATTGATTCATGAGCCACTGATCACATGACTAGTATGGCATCTGATTTTTCTTCGTACAGTTTATGTTCTGGTAAGGATAAGGTTAGAGTGGCTAATGGCACCTTCACTTCCATTGCGGGGAAGGGCATTATTTCTGCCTCTCCTAATCTTACCTTATCCTCTATTCTTCGTGTCTCAAAGTTTACCAATAACCTCCTTTCTGTCAGTCACATTACAAAAGGCTTGAATTGTAGTGTAACCTTTTTTCCATCTCACTGTGTGTTTCAGGACTTGGATACGGGGAAGACGATTGGAAGTGGACGCGAGGACAATGGCTTGTATTTGCTGAACACGAGGCCAACTTCTTATTATGTTGCAAATCAATCTAGTGTTAAGAATAGTAATTTCAATAAAGATCGGTTAATGTGATGACATAATAGACTAGGTCATTTACCTCTTCCTGTTTTGAAGCATATGCTTCCCTAGTTTGCTTCTATTGAATCTTTTAAGTTAAATTGTGAAACATGCGTTCTTGCCAAACAATGTCGTGTTTCTTATCCTACTAGTATTAATAAAATTACAACTCCTTTGCAGCTTGTTCATTCTGATGTGTGGGGTCATGAATCTACTACTTCGTTACTTTGTTGTGTTTGTTGATGACTTTAGTTGATATACTTGGTTATATCTTATGAAAATCAAAGATGAAGTTCATTCCATTTTTAACGCATTTCATAAGATGTTATGTACTCAGTTAGGTTGTCCCCTCAAAATCCTTCGATCTAATAATGGAGGAGAGTTTATGTATGGTGGTCTTGCCTCCTTTTTTGATGATAACGGGATTGTCCATCAAACCTCTTGTGTCGATACACCACAACATAACGGTGTAGCTGAAAGAAAACACCGTCATATTACAAAGGTGACCCGTTCTCTTCTAATTGGGATGGGAGTGCCTAAAAGTTATTTGGCTGATTTAATCTTAGCAGCTACATACCTTATCAATCGCATGCCTTGTAAGGTTATTGGCTATCAGTCCCCCTTCTCTGTCTTACACCATCACACTGCCTTATTCACTGCCCCTCCGAAAGTGTTTGGTGGTGTTTGTTATGTTCACATTCATCATCGCAAGGACAAAATGGACCCTAAGGCAATCCAATGTGTCTTTCTTGGATACTCCGCCACTCAGAAAAGGTATCGGTGTTAAGCAGCGATAGTACTCTGCACCTACTCCTTATTCAGAAAGTTTATCAATTTGATAGCCAATTATGTTGTCAATAACCCTACCACATGTCATTACTTTGTCTCCATGGATGTTACATTCTTTGAGTTTGTTCCTTTTTATTTTCCACTGTTCAGGATTCTATATAGGGGGAGAATACTATACAGGTAGAGAGTCTGTCGTCCATTCAGAGGGAATGCCACCTTCCTTTGCCTGTTCCCATTCAGGGGGAGGTTTCCATTCAGTGGGAGCTTCTTATTGAGGTGCCTATGTCTAGTCCCCTAACACTAATGATTTGCAGCAGGAAAGCAACCAATTGTCTACACTAGGTGGGCAAAACAAGCCATTAACTCACCCTAGGACCAAGAAGTCTCCCTCGATCCAAGTAATTCCTCAGTTGACATTGATACTACTGATTCTTTTCCTAATAGTATTCCTGTTGATCTTGATGTCCCTATTGCCTATCGTAAGGGTGTTCGTAGTTATACAAAACATCCCATATCTCAGTTTGTATCCTATGATGCCTTATCTCTAACATATCGTGAAAGGAAGCCATGCTTGAAGAGATGACGGCTCTTGAGAAGAATGGTACTTGGGATATTGTTCCTTTACCTAAGGGTAAGAAACCAGTAAGCTGCAAATGGGTCTACACAATAAAGTATCATATAGACGGAACAATTGAGAAATATAAAGTCCGGTTAGTTGCAAAGGGTTTCACTCAGACCTATGGGATTGATTATCTCGTAACATTTGCTCTAGTGTCCAAGATAAACTCTATACGTGTCCCCCTTTCTTTGACAGCTAATTTGAATTGACCTTTACATCAGCTGGATGTAAAGAATGCTTTCATTCATGGTGACTTGGAGGAAGAGGTGTATATGACTATGCTACCAGGGTTTAAGCTTGCAAATTGTTAGAATTTAGTGTGCAAGCTAAATAAAGCCTTGTATAGGTTAAAACAGTCGCCACATGCTTGGTTTGAGAGGTTGAGCATTGCTGTGAAAAAGTAGGGTACACACAGAGTCAGGAAGATCATACTCTCTTCATCAAGAAGCACCAGGGCGTGTAAATGTTGATGATATTGTTATCACTAGAAATGATCCAGAAAAGATTCATCGAATTCATTCCTGGGGACATAGTTCGAGGTTAAAAACCTCGAATCATTGAGATACTTTCTTGGCATCGAGGTGTGCAAATTAAAGAAAGGGGTGTTCATTTCTCAACGAAAGTATGTGTTAAATTTGTTAGCTGAAATAGGCAGGCTTGGAGCTAAACCTATTGATATTCCAATTAAGCAGAACCATAGGCTTAATGATGTAGATGGAGACCCATTAGACGATGTGGGAAGATTTTAGCGATTGGTTGGGAGACTGATTTACCTATCTTTCATTCTCCCAGATATTGCCTACGTTGTTAGTGTGATTAGTCAATTTATGCATACTCCACGTATATCTCACCTTGAGGCAGCTCATTATGTTCTTCGCTACCTCAAAGGTTCACCTGGTAAGGGGATATTGTTTGGCCGTCATGGCCACTTGCGTGTTGAAGCCTATACTGATGCTTGATTTGGCAGGGTTTATGACAGATCGATGATCTACTTCAATCTGTCACAGGATATTGCACATTTGTTGGAGGTAATCCTATTTCATGGTGAAGCAAGAAACAATCTGTAGTAGCTAGATCTAGTGCAGAGGCTGAGTTCAAATCCATGGCACATAAAGTTTGTCAGTTATTATGGCTACGAACGATGTTAGGTGAGTTTGGTTATCATGTTTGCGAGTCAATGAAGTTGTATTGTAACAAGGAGGCTGCTATTAGCATTGCCCACAATCCAGTTCAACATGACAAAACAAAGCACATTGAAGTCGATCAATACTTCATCAAGGAAAAGCTTAGTCTTGGGCTGATTTGTACTCCATATGTCAACACACATGATCAGGTTGCTGATGTTTTGACTAAAGGTATGAGCAAGACTTGCTTGCAAAATATGTTAGTCAAGCTAGGCATGATAGATATCTTTGCACCAGCTTGAGGGGGAGTGTTGTCAGGGACTTATTTGTTATTACTTATATAATGTTGGAGCTTATGTGTAATTTCTAAAACTTGTTAGTATAAATAGAATGTGGTGGAAGGATGAAAGTATTCTTTCATTCTTTCTCTCTTTCCCCATCTCTCTCTCTTTTTCTCTCATCCTCTTTCCTCTCTTTTTCTTCTGCTTATAATTTACTCTTAATATGATTATCTCTTAAAGTCAACAGTATGTTTCTAGATGCATCTTATTTGGAGTCTAGCCAATAGCACAGGAGCATCTAGTATCTGTCCCTCTGAAGAAATGAAAATATTTCCTTGCATTGTTTCAATGTCCCTTGCCTGTAAATTGAAACAGGCTCATTAAAAACTGATAATTATCAAAATAGTTTTAGCCTCATAGCTGTCAGTGGCACGCAATCACATTTCATGCCTTGTAAGGTTAACTACACACCACATTTTTGTGTTGAAGTGATATTATGTCGATCTCCTGGTTTTTTAGGGTGTTTGGTCACATGTTGGAATGAAATTGTTACAGTTCTCACAATAGCATTGAATGCACAAGCTCATCCAGTCATCCTTTAGAGTGGGGATTTATAAAAAAGTGAAAACAGCAATGACAATAATAGTAATAGTAATAATAATAATAATAATATAATGTAGTACAAGTACAGTGATGAAAGGAGAAACACCATTATAGAAGGAGATCATCCATAAAAACTCGATAATACTAAGGCTAACAACATTCATAAAAATCTGAAATGATTTTATTATGTAACTAAACATGCAGTTTTTAAAATTTTAAATAGTGCTTGCGAGGTTGCCCAAAGCTCTGATTAGGTCAGAGTTCGAGTGGTGTATTTGACCTAGAGGGGGGTGAATAGGTTTTATGAAAATTAAATTTAAATTTTAGATATCTTTTGGATTTTTTCCCCCTAGTTGGTATTATCCTTTGGATTTTCGTTTATTGTGTGATTCAACCAATAGTTATTCTTGTCAACCTTGTAGATGATTTTCTACCACACATTCACACAACTGCACAAAACAAATATAGAGAAGAAACACCAGATTTTTACGTGAAAATTCCTAAACAGGGAAATCCATGGACCTTGTTTCATGAACAATCTACTATATGAGAAAAGGTTACAAGTAGGTTAACAGTTCCCTCAACCTAGAACCCCTAGATATGTGATTGTGCATATGGACTTTGCGCCGTGTTTTTCGTGAATTTTGTCACTAGTTTCTTCAGTGGTCGTGAACAATCATAACACTTTGACAAATTACAAACCACGTGTCGAGTAAGAAAGTGCCAATACACTACTCATATTCCATATAAATGGTGTTGCACTATGCTTATTCAGTGACGCTAATATTTTTCCCTCTTTCTTTCTCCTTTTCTTCTTTTCCTCTGTTTTTTTCATTTTTTCTTTTCTTTTTTGTTGGTTGCTGTGTGATGTTGAATGTTGTTTTCTTGTCTTTTCCTTCAGAACTTCTTGATGAAGCAGAATTTGGCAAGGATGCAATGAACGTGGAGTATGATGAGAATACTGTGAATCCTGCTTCAGAACTTGGTTTTCTGGTTGGAAATCTGATTAATAAAGTTCAAAAAATATCAATTACTTATCAGAGTAATATTTTTATTAGAACTTGACTAAATATGTACTGGTATTGATGGACAGGAGGAAAATAAGGAAGCTAGGATGTTGTTTCTTCAACTTCCTAGTAATCTACCCTTGGATAAGCGATCAGCTACTGCAGGTGGCATCTCAATGTCATCTGAAATAACAATTGCTTCAGCTAATGCAAAGGGGAAAGCAATAGCTAGCAGCTCAATGTCATTAGGGGATTCAGGTGCTTCAGCCAGAGCAAACAAACATTGCGGTTTGGAAGAATTGCCAGGGGGATACTTGGGCAAAATGTTGGTTTACAAGAGTGGAGCGGTCAAGTTGAAGCTAGGAAATACCCTGTATGATGTGAGTCATACTGCATCTTGCTATAAATTTTCATATCAACAATATTCATTTTTTCCTTCCTCTTTGTTCGTAATTTCTTGCTTTCCAGTGCGTAAAAGCTTACTGAGAATTAGCATAATTCATGAAGTTAAAAATGATGAAAACCGTCAATATTTGACTGGAAATTGAGGAATTATTGTGCCAAATATCATACTTAACATCTCTAAAGGAATTAAATTTATGTTCTTGTCCAATCAAGAGTTCTTTTCTTGCACTTTTCTCACCTTTGTAATGGGAAATAAAAACGAACAAAGTTCTTTGTTAGTAAGAAACTTGGAGTTTGTGTGTTAGTACACCATAATTATATAAACATAATTCTATTAATTGCTTGTTCTGGAAATGGTTTATTGTAATGTTTATAAATCATGTATAGATTTTTTTGGTGTTTTATAATGTGATATTTACATGAAACTGGTCAATCCTCATATGGATTGTGGTACTTATATCACATTTTTGGCACCATCTATCCACCTGCCAAAGGTCTGCTTCAATTTTGGGCTCAGTTCAAGTGCTTGCTAAAACATGTTTAAACTACTGTTCATGAAGTGTTCTGAGAAGGGTCATTGTTTAGCTTCTTAGTTGCAAATGTTAAAATGCTCATGATTTCTATTGGAACCATCAAATTTCTTTTGTAAAAATTGATGGATTACTGTGTTGAATCTTCTTCTTATTATTTTTATTTTCTTTTCTTGGTGGTGGCAGTGGGGGTAAGAATCCGGAATCTTTTAAAAATCTCACAATTTACCTCTTTCAAACTCTTGTGTAACCATAATCCATCCAAATCCTCTGTTGATTTCACATTGCACAATTTTAGTTACTTTAGTGAGAATTTATGGAGCATCACACAAAAAAAATAAGTAAATAAATAAATAAAATTGGTGTTATATGTCTTATAAAATTAATTCATATGATTTGCAGGTTTCTCCAGGTTCTGATTGTGTTTTTGGTCAAGACGTTGTAGCAATCAACACCATTGACAAAAGCTGTAGTATGCTTGGGGAACTCAACAAGCGGGCTATTGTAACTCCTGATATCGATTCCCTCCTGAACTGTGATTAACTTTTACTAGATTAATACTAGTTGCAGGCAGTTTGTCCATGTAAATCAAGTGGAAAATGTAAAGAAGTAGAGATTGTGTGTGTAAATACGTAGCCAGATTTACTGACTGCAAATTCGGTAGCTTCTAAAGTTGCTCTGTGCATATACTGCATTATTGAGCTCCAGTGTTTTTTGAGGAATATTTTGACTAACAAATGAATGAAAATTTGCAGAAAGTTGAAATAGATTACCAAAAATGTTAGGGAATCACTGAAGCTTCTTTTACAGATGGGTTGGAACCTCAATAACATCTTCAAATTGAAAGTTTAAGATGAAGAGACCGATTCTGTTAACATTGCTAGTATTGAAGATGATAGTTCTATAAACCTCTTGTGATACTGCCAGTGTCAAATAAATCTTGAACATGAACACACTGGGAAGCTGGGCGCTCTACCAGCTAGGCTATTAGGTAATGCCCATGTTCTATAAGTGCTGCTGACATTGCTTTTGTGTGGTGCTCCTCCAATCAAGGAGCGATTTGTTAAGTTTAGCTCAGATCATACAATACGTTTTTCATGGCTCAAATTATATTCATCAGTTAGAACCCTACATGCTGGTGAACACACTGAAACTCATAATAATGCAATGAGCCTAAACATGGGAAAGGAAAAAGCTCTCGCGAGGGTTCTCCAACGTGAGCTCAAACCCGAAGAGAGTGAGGGTACAAGCTCACAGTGAGAGTACTCAAGCTATACTTGCTCTTTGAGAAAATGAAATGAGTATATCCCATGTAAAGACTTGCTGATACATAAACAATAATCCATCATGCTTGATGCTGCATTCAGCCAGACATCGTGCATAAGTATTACCAGAACCGAGCATTCATAAATATCCACATAATATACAGAAAAACAAAGCCAATTCTGAGGTCCCCACTTGGATTTGTTTATGACAAATATAACTTAATCCAAAATATCTTACTCAATGCATCCAAGAGTTTCTACCACCTGTTCATATCAACAAGCGATTGCATCTGTCATTTCGTCGAATAATAATCAAGCCTTGTGGGCTCGAGTCACAACCACAATTAAGAGCACCATGACGGAGATCAGGAAAGATGATCTCAGCTTTTGCTCGAAGGAATTTGTGGTTTCTTCAGTTGTTTTCTCACTGTCTGGGGACTGGAGAAGATCATTCACCAGCCTATAGATTTTATCCATTAGTTCCATGACTTTGGCCTTTGTGTTGCCAAAGATCAACATCAGTAGTGTTTTTGCCGGGTTGGAGCCATCAGCACTTTCATCCGAACTTTCAGGAGCACTGTTTTCTGCTGCAAAAATAAATGGAAATTTTTATGTGATCAACAAGTGCACATTTATGTATGTGATCATGAAATATAAACTGGAATGAAAAGCATTAATTCCATTCCACTCATACACATATCGCGAAAATTTCATGCCACTAAGTATAACTAAAAATCAAATGTACTTTATTTGGTTATGAATCAAAAATTCGGCTGCAATTAGCATCACTTTTATTTCCAGTCCATTATACAGGTTTACTTTAAGTCACAATCTCAGCAACACCACAGAATATACACAGATCAAACGAGTTAAATCAATCATAATATGTGGCTGATCTAATGATATAGAATCAACGGATCAGAATGAGTTAAAACAATTCTATTCCAGTTGCCAATATTACAGAAAAAAATTCAACCTCGTGAAAACCAGACTGATTCACCCAGTCCCCAAGGGCTGCCATGGACCCGTGGCCACTTCTTAGAGAATTATGCTTCATTCAGGACAAGAAATTTGAAAACTGGAGGGGAAGGAAAGGCCACATGTATGGAAAAGGACTTGCAAAAAAGTTAAAAGTAAATAAGAAGAAGGAACAGGGATGGAAAAGGCATTCCCTTTTCCAGTTTCATCGAGCCAGAAGCCAATGGGGAATAAAGAAAGTGGTATTACTTATTTTTGCTATTAGACGAGGAAGGTGTTATTTGAAGGCGAAAATGTACATAAGTGAGAGAGAGGGGAGGGTTTCTCTCCCCATCCTGCCCTCTTTAGTCAGAAAGAATGTATGCGCCATGGGGAAAAAGCTTTCCTCCTCTCTTCCATTCTTTCGTCCTCTACTTCATACAAACCTTCACAGAAACAATGGATGTAATTTTTATTCTTGCCCTTTTCTTTTCCTTTCACCCTTCACTTCCACTCCTCCCTCCTACCAAATAAACCAATAACGACCTTTCTCTATTCGAACTTCTCCTATTCCTCCTGCCTAACGTTGTTTATTTCACAAAATCCTGAATTTCTTCTCTCAGATTTTATGCTTCTCATCTTACAACTTTGTGCATGTATCATATAAAAATTGACAGAGACACAGCCTTCATAGCCATGGTGAGTTGATAGCCATCCAGTCAGCTAAACCGAAATTTACTCAAATAACAACATTGCCTTAGAAATTTTCAACCAAAAAAGCATTGCCTTAGATTAAAAGAAGAGCTTTGCCAAGCAAGTACTAAACTAAAGCAGAACAGCAGATACATTAGAAATATGAGTTCAACCAGAAAATCAGTACCCCTACCTGCCCATCGGATATAGCACTGATTCAATGAAACTCAGATAACCAATTTACTGGATATTATATATCGAACATAATAAATATGATATTTTTCTCATAAGTAACAGTATGTCGATTATAAAAGTTTACTTAATTGTATTTACAGGACCTCAGACGAACCTGCATCGAATGACTCTCTGAGCTCCCGTACCACATCATTGTTCAAAACAGCATCCCAAACAGCCTTGTCAGAAGACAATGAAATGACCATTCTCTACACCAAGAAAAGAATAAAAGAAAAAGGGAAAAGAAGAAGAAGAAGAAGATGAAGAAGAAGAAGAAGAAGAAGAAGAAGAAGAAGAAGAAGAAGAAACTTAGAAAAGAAATAAAGAATGTAACAAAAAAAAACCTAGGTAAGTTAGAAAATAAAAAATCATAACATGGTATACTAAATCCTACCTTACACATCAAAAAGGAAAATTAATTCCACTTTTTGCTTGATTTTTAAATATCAAATATTTTCCTTGAAAAATTGGATGACTTCACTTCTAATTTTGTACTGAAGAAGATAATGTCTGCATGTGCTCTAGCAACAAATGTAATGCAAAACAAAACACACTTTGCTGCTTCATCTTCATGGGACATCCAAACACCCACTAAAAATAAGCAAAAGAATGACACCCGGTAGCAAGAAACTTATTTACTACTGGCCAATGATATAAGTGCAAACTTACACGGAACTTACTTGGTAATTAGAGGTTATTCCATTGTATAGAATTGCTTATATCAATACAGCAATTGATCTCAACGGTTAAACTTTTTGGATCAAGATTTTCAGAAGATTAGCTAAAAGCAATATAAGATATAAGTTACATACAGTTATGTGAGAATTGTCCAACCACATAAAATTCATTACACTTCAAAAATCAAAGAGATTTTGAAAGCTTAAATTTAAAAGATCAAGGAGATCTTAAAAGAGACTGTAGATCATTATGATCTCAACATTTTGATATTCCAACCAATTTCAACTATTTTCCCAACAAAATTAATATTTCTAAAAAGAAGACTAGAAGTTCTAGTAATTTGAATTTAATTCCATCCAGGCTCAATTATTATGCTAACGTCAAAGCTTGAACCCCTAGTGAGAAATACAAAAATTGATACTTGGAGGCACCTGAACAGAAGGCTCAGTCTGCAGCAAATGAAAAGCATCATAAACTCTGTCAGATCCATGACGTTGCAACATTCTGGGATTACATAGCTGTACTGAGGGCTCAATCCAATCTAACTCCGACCCAACTGATGAAACTCTGTGCATTACACCAGGACTTGTAACATGATCCGCTATGTCCATGTCCGAATTATAAGAGAATCTATCCTTGATGAACTGTGAAAAGGAGGCTGGGTCGATAACCCTACAAGTATCAAACCATTCATAAACTGTACCACCTTATTAATTTGGTCTGTGGGGGTTAAGAGACACCCAAAATTGTAAATATAATAACATAAGATGATAATGCATAATAGTTTTTTTAAAATAAATAAAATAAATAAAAAACCAAAATCATGAATATTTTGAAAACAAAATCTGCCATACAATTTGGTAGTCTGAAACGTACGAAGAGATTCATATTCTCAAAGCACATTCATTGTCACTCCACAGAACTAAAGAGATCATATATTGCAAAAGATTCTCCAGGTAAGAAAAGGAAGATTGATCGGATATCAATTACGTATGAAAATGTTATAGTATATCACTATGACACCAAAAAAATTAGTGTTTGGTTTCATATCACAGCTGGAAAAAAAAATAAAAATATAAATAAAAAGGGTTAAACTTCACATCAGCGGCATCAACCAATTACAAAACTCCAAGGTTACCAAGTCATTAGCATATTGTGTCAGGCATGTCAATACTTAAATAAGAAATAGCTTACTTCACATTCAGTTTGATTTCAAAAACTCCCTTAACCTGTGTTGACCCAAAGGTTTTGACCTAAGGGCAATCTAGTAAATTTTGATGATAACAAACCATTAATGGTGTTTAGGCACCAATGTCTACATTGACTGTTGTACTAGATATGATCACATTTTCAACTTAGCTCTAAATGAAACAAAGATGAACAAAGTCGCATTCCAAGCATTCCAATGCACATGAAGACATCAATGGTCAAGCAATAACATGGAAATGACTTGAAGTTGAAAAAGGTCGATGCTAGGAGCAATCAAAGTTGACTTGAGCATCAATGATCAAGAATTCAACTCAAAGGTCAAGAATGCAACTCAAAGAGCAAGAAGATGCCTCAAAGCTTAAAGATTAAATGCCAAAGTTTGAAGAATGGTGTAGATAGGTTGGTGAATGTTTACGATTCAATGTCAAAGTATTTTTTAATCTCTTCTTGAAGCTCACTTCTATAAGATCATGCATATGCAATCAAAATCTCATTTTTGATCCTTGTACAACCTAGGAAAAGGTCTTGAACATCACTGTGACACAAACAAAGACCTAAACTAAGTCCTTAAAGGCTTACTTTTAAATGTCTAAGTTCAACCAGCCGACTGGTTGAACTCTACCAGGCTGCTGGTTTGTCCAGAACTAAATGGAGTTAAGGAGTGTAGCTTATTCAGTTTGAGTTTCAGCCAACTGGCATTCTAAACCAGCCAACTGGTTCATGCCAGATTTGAATTCAAACAGCTATAATTGCATTTAATGTTCTCTCAACTACTCCTAACAGCACTTTTCAGCCTTAAAACTCTATATATATGACTGATTATTTATGTATGAGATATGAAACTTGTCAGAGACATATATGAGTCTTTAAGAGCTGTCATTTGAGCATTCAATGCACTCTTCACTCTCTCACTCATCTCATTCAATAGACTTCAGCTTCAACGTAAGAATCATCAATACTCTAGTCTTGTGAGCATAAATTTGAGCTATCTATCTTTGAGAGATATCATTGTACTTCAATCTTCCAACAAATCTATTGTAAGGGTTGGTTTGACCAAGAAAGCCTAAGAGGAAGAGGTTCTCTTAGTAAGAAGGAAGGAGAAGCAAGTTTGCATCTTACAAAGGTTTGCTCTCCCCCCGAAAGGAGAAGCCATAGTGGATTTGGGAAAGTCTCGAGAGAGATCTTGAGCTGAGGATAGTTCCGAACCTCGCTAAATCGGCGTGTCAATTGTGTTTGAATTTCTCTTCCCTTATCTCATTTAAATTGTGCTTACTTTGATTATCACACATATTGTTTATTGCACAATTTATATAGACATTGCATAGTCTTGCTTAAATCTATTAATTTATAGGAGTCAATAATTGGGTAACACTATGGACCTTTATAAACTACAAAGGACGTGAAAAACAGCAGTTAGATGCTGCAATGGCCCTTTACTGCGTGAGAACCAATGCTCTAAACGTGCACCTTGTATCTAACATATAAATTAGTACACCTTGCAACTTTAATAAAAATAACCAATTGGTTTCAGGAAAGGTTGATTTTTTTTGGGAACTCCATTTTCCTATCTACAACAAAGCTTGTGGTAACAGCTCCTGCTTGATAAGGTTATCAAGCTAGTCTCACACAATAGAGGTCCACAGTTCGAACCCGGGCTCAGACACTAGTATTTATGTTACTCGAAGAAAGTTTAACTTATAATAAATAAAAATAAAAATAAAAAAGCTCCGGCTTGATAAAACTTTGAATCACTACTACTCAAGGTCGGCCGCACAGTCACGAGGAGTGACTGAATGTCTTGCAGAGGCCAATCACGTACTAGGTGATCTGAATCTATGATAGGTTGAGAGGGAGGGAGGGAGGGAGGGGGGAGGGGGGTGGGGTTCAGATGGGGAGATATAGAAATTTGAAACTCACCATAATAATGCTCTTAAGCACCAAATAGTAAATCTCTTCCACTCACATTGGGGATTATTTATATCTTTTGTAAAGGAAAAGGAAAAAAAAAGGCAACCAGTAAATCATAGTCAAATAATATTACTTATCAAAAAATATATATTTGACTTTAAATTCCACATCCGTTTCTAAAACTGCAAATGAACAGAACTGTTTGTGCGCTCCATAATTAAAATGTTCATGGCTCAACCATTTAATAATGAGCTAACACTGAGTGATATCAAGAGTGCTATTTCCTCAACAAGCTGAGTGTGAACATGACAAGGCATACTCATGTAGATTAACACAAGGTGCGCATGGTACTTACGCATCTATCAAGGTTTTTATTTATTTATTTATCTTTTAACATAAGGCCAAAAATTATTCATGTAAATAAAAATTATTCACATTTTCCCCTTGTTAAGCCATAATTTTCCACATCTACATCTTCTAGAACGTCATATAAGCTAGAATCTTAGGACCCAAATCAATCTTTTAAAAATTGGTCAGACTTCTACTTCACAGAATTCTTCTCCTTTTGTTCGATCAAGTAGCCTTTGCCTTAACCAGATTAACACAAGATGTCTGCTTCCCATTCTGTTAGGAGCTACGAAGCATGGACAAGGGCACGATACGACACACATATGCCGACATGTCAAATAAAAAAAAGTAGAATTATGGACTCGGCGTGGACACGGCTAATATAGATATAAATTTTCATTTGAAGAAATTATAGAACTTTAATTAATTTATAATTTCTATACTAAAGTTACATAAGTTTGAAGGTGAAGCTATTCAAATATCATATTACATGTGATATTACTATCCTATCTTGTCATTGTAGTTATGTTTTTGTTCATATTTCATACTGTAGCGTGTGTTTGATGTCAATTTTTTAAAGAAAAAGAGGTTGGATACTATGATATATGCTACATTATTTCTAGAACAATCGTATGTTTGTTTTATATAAGACAAAGAGTGGGGGATATGATGTCGAGTGTCCGGAATGTGTCGGCCAGGTGTCCAAGATGTGTTGTCTAAGTATCCTAAATAATAAAATTATTTTCAAATTATGGGCATGACCATGAAGTGTCGGAGATGTGTCGAGAGTGTCCATGAAGTGTCGGCGTCTGATACGGACATGACACCTCATAGAAGTGTTCGGGCACCTTAGATTAGGAGTTTAAAGTGTGAAAAAAAACGTAGTCACAAAGCAGAACCAGAGACACGATAACATTTTGAGAACTTTCGTTGTTGACAAAAAGTTTTTCAAAGATCTGATGTGAAGGAAAAAAGAAAGGGATCTTACATTTTCGTCAAAGTTGTAGTAATCCATTTATTTAGTATTATTAAAATAGAAGTGTTTGATTTGATATCATGTTATTGGAGTAATTCAATTTCCACTATGTAAGAGGTACCTTACGAGATGTATTCTTTTAATCAAGTCTTTAACTCAGTAAGTCCATCTATATTGACCTTGCTTCAGATTTCACCTTGATTTTATTTTCTTACATTTTTTACTTGGTCTCCTGAAGACAAGCCAAGCTTGCACGTGTAAGAGGCTCATCTTAGCATGATTCATTTGAAGTCCTACGCATTTCTCACACAAATTTTCATTTAAATGTTAGAAATAGTATGCAATGTAACAAATGACACGAAGGAGAAAAAAAAAAAAAAACCAAATCCAGTGTCAGCTTCTAAAAGTGGCCTACACAGTTTTGATTGTGCATTAAGATAAACAGTTACACATATAATTTTCTTGCAATAAAAAATTTGGTTTCTTTTTTCTATTTCCACATTGCTATTGAGCCCGATTCTCAATTCTGTAAAATATATATTACTTTTGTTTTAAGCAATGAATAAGAAATGTAGTAATTCACGTGAATTAAATTTAATTTGAGTATTTATAAGAACTATAGAAAGTGACATCAAATTTAAATTGAGTACTTAGACCATAGAAATATAAATGTTAATATTTAACTACCAATATGATTATCATTATATTTAACTAGCAATTTCATTTTCAACATCTCCATCACAGTCACTATCATCACAATCAATAAAATAACAATGAGGAGAATTACAAATTAACTTTATTAAGTTATTGTTACAAATATAAAATATTTTAGGATTGTTAGTTGTCAGGGTAAGCTCAGGTGTGCATTATATTCTGCACCATCAAAACAATAACAATAATAAAATTCACAGTTAATTTACCATAAAAATTTTGTCTTTACCACTCATTGTCATTATAACCATTGTTGCTAAAATAATAATTACATTAAGTACCAATTGACCTCAAACTCAGCAACCACTCATATGCTTATCCTTAATTTTGGATGTCCTATCCTTCATCCCTTTGAAATTTGGACAATTCACTTAAATAATAATAAATAAATAAATAAATAACTAACACTTGATTACAAGGATCAAGAATCAATAATTGTTCTCACCTATCAAACCCCAACAAAATTAACATCAATTAAAATGGATATCATGAACTAAAGAAAATATTATGTAGTTTTTCAAACACTTACAGAATACATAAGGATGTAGCTCTATCCTACATCCCTTTGAAATTTGGACAATTTACTCAAATAATAAAAAAGAAAAAAATATATATATATACATAAACTTAACACATGATTACAAGGATCAAGAATCAATAATTGTTAAACCACAACAAAATTAAAATCAATTAAAATGGATAACATGAACAGAAGAAAATATTGTGTAGTTTTTCAATCACTTACCAGAATACACAAACAAAATCAATTGAAGCACTTACTGTTGAAGATTAGAGACTGCATGTTGCACTTCATCTTTGGTTGGAACAGACCCAAAAACAAAATCATCACAAAACCCATTTGCCCTTTCATCTTCACTTGCATAAACACATTCCCAATCAAACTCATCACCAAAAGCAGGAGAAGAATAAGGAGTGGATGAAGAAAATGGTGATGAGGATCTAGTTGTTGGAGAGGATAGATGAAGTGTGTTGGAGTTGTGTTTGAAAGTGGATGATTTAGAAGCAGTAGAAGTAGAGCTGTTACTGGTGGTGGTGGTGGTGGTGGTGGTGGTGGTGGTGGTTCTGGTGGACTTTGGAAATGGTTCTTGGGCTGCACCACCGACACCAGCCCTAACTGCCCTTTGAACTGTCCTCAAGTTCAACATCCCTCCACCTCCTGCTCCTCTTGCCGCTCCTCCTCCCATTCCTCTGTTACCCCCAAATGTTTTCCTTATCATCTCTTATCCCTATCTCTTGTTTCTTTTTTTCTCTCTCTAAATTTAGCAAAGATTTTGTTTGATTCTTTCGAGGATGAATTAATGGATGGGATGAAAGTTGGAATCTTGTGTGCTTTACCGACTCATACGTTTAGGGGGCAATGTCACAATGATAATGATGCGTCAATTCTGTGAGTTCTTGCCCTCGTTAAAAACTTTTTGTCACAAAAAAAAATATAAATTAAATTAAATTAAATTAATAAAATATTATAATAATAATTAAAAAATTATTTATCATAGTCATAATAGATATGAATATTTAAGATTTTTTATTAAAAATCCAAACTATATGATATAAAAAAAGTTAATGTTCTCGAATAGTGATTGTATTTAGTGTGGGTTTTATATGTTTATACATATACAAGTATAATACAAATATTAATAAAAAGATTGTGAAAAAAAGGGTAGTATTTATATATTATTTAAAAGAGTGATGAAATTATTTTTTGGATAATTATATATTGAAATTATTTTTTGGATAATTATATATATAAACTGGCATATTTTTTGCTTTAAAATCTCGTATCTTTGACTTATCAAAGAAATAGATCGTCTATGTTTACTTGATGGAGAAGATATTGAGGAAATTTAGGAGGTATTGACGCCATTTTGAAATTGACCCAAAAGTTGTCCCGGACAAATAAAAGCATGCAATAAAATAACCTTTTTCTACAAATAAAAGCATGCAATAAAATAACCTTTTTCTACAAATAAAAGCATGCAATAAAATAACCTTCTTAAACTTATTTTTCAGTCACTATAACTTTAGACTTAAAATTAAAATATGAAAAATGATACTTCCACCGAATATTCAGACCCAAAACTTAAACCGATGGTGATATGTCACTATAGCTATACCATATTTAAAAAGATAAAAATTTAAAGATAAAACTATCCTTACATAATTTCAATTAGCAAAGAATCTCAATTACCAATAGCAAAATGATTTTTGCACCCAATAATTTAAAGATAAAACTATCCTTACATAATTCCAATTAGCAAAGAATCTCAATTACCAAGTGAATAATGTAACAAATAAGGAAGTGAAGCCCTCCACTTAATTATATTTGGTATAAATAATTAATTAAAAATTATTCAGCAAGTGTTCTGTGTGAATATCATTACTCTTACTAGTAATATCTCTCTTCATCCATATTTATCCATAGTCAAGCCATTGTTTATATTATTCTCACACTTTTCTCCATTACCATTATTGATTCCCGATTAGGATACACAAATATATCACTTTACAGTACTTGTTACCATCTCCATTACCATCATCAACATCATCCAATCTATCCCATTGTCAAATCATTCTTTATTTTCTTCTCCCACACTTTTTTCCATTACAATCATTGATTTCCAATCAGGATACACAAATATATCATTACCATCACCATTACCATCATCACCGTTGTCGTCGCCATCACGTTGCCCTAAGAGACCACTCATTTCTTTTCCATGGTGGCATTCTCTCTTTCTCTCCTCTTCAAATTGATGAACTCGGTTCTCTAAATCCATCACTCAATCGATGAGCCCATTCAGTTTGTTGTTGGTTTTGTACAAAAGAGTGTTGATCATACCCAAGAGCTCTGTATACACAGACAGACACCGCTTTTCTTTCTTTTTTTCTTTTTCTTTTTTCCTTCTTTTGGAGTTATGATGAAAAAAAATTTTCTTTTTTTTTTTTTTTTGGAGTTATGATGAAAATTTTATAAACTTGTTATTTATTTATTTACTTTATGTTTTGCGTGTGTGTGTGTGTGTGTGTGTGTGTGTATATATATATATATATAAAGGAGAGGGAGAGTGTTTTGATAAAAAATTTAAAACAAAATTATGAGGATTGAACTACAGTATGCTTACAAATCTATATATATATATATATATTTTGATGATTTCTTTTTAGAAATTTATATATTATTATTATATATAGATAGTCTTCCGATAAAATTTATAAAAGGAATTTTAAGGGAATTTTAATTATAGTCGTTTTTGAAACAATGATTTCAATTAAGTGACCCTAAAAAAGGGAGGATGAATACAAGAAGACAATAAAAGGATAATTTTATCTTGAAAATTCCTGTTGTTTTAATGGACATACTAGTGGGACCATTTGATTGCCATATTAATTTATCTACCTTAATATCTAGATAAAAGTGCACTTAATATTTAATTTTTATATAAATAATTAATTAGTAATTAATATCTAAGGAGTCAAATGGAAAGATATAGATTGATAGAGAAATTAAAATAGAAAAGCATTTTTTTTTTTTTTTTTTTTTTTTTTTTTGGCTTTTTCAAGTTTCTTCTACCCCTTAAAATAAAAATTCTTATTTTTCTTCAATCAAGCCCTATGGTGGCAGGAGTGGAAGGCAGCAGTGGTGTAGGTGGTGGTGGTGGAAGGTGGAGGTGGTTATAACGATGGATGCGGTAATGGTGACAAGGGTGGTGGCAATGGCAGTGGTGGTGGTCGAAGGTGGTAGTGATGAAAGGCGGTTGTGATGACCATGTCATCTTTTTCTTTTTTTCTTTTTCGACATTTATTTTATTTTATTTTATTTATTTTCTTTGTTGCCTTAGGGTTTTGTGGACCCTAGGTAAGGTTTGGTGTCTGGGAATGGCTCCCGACACTCCATGCATTCATTCTAGCACATTTTATCCTCATGACATAGTTTAATTGTATAGCATTGCATGCTTCTTAAATTGTATTTTTATGGGGGTGTTTGTGCTATTTTATTTTGGGGATATTTTTATTATGGGAGTTCTTTGTGCAATTATCTTTTAGAGGTATTTCTTTGAGGGACTTTTGTGCAATTAAGGGAAAGTTAGGATATGTGTCATTTTATGATTGGGCCATGTGTTGAGAGTTAATTGGGGACAAGTAGAAGGCTAGGATTATGACATGTGGAGGGTGAGGATTAAAGTGTGTGTGATAGAAGTTGTGCTAGGGTAAGTGTTATACATATTATTTATCATTGTTTACACATTTTTCCTCTATTCTTCTTCTTTTTCGCCACTATCTCTCTTTTCCTCCATTAGAAGTTCATTTAGGACATTCATTTCCTCCACCTTCCTCTCATCTTTTTACCATATCATAGAAGAGAGAAAAGCTTGGGGACACCATTTGCAACCTAGCCCTTATCTTGGATTTTGCATTGCACCATCTTGCTCTTGGATTCTAGAGAGGCTTTTTCTAGTGAAGTAGGGGGTGTAGTATAATTGTAACTTAGAAATTTCATTGTGTTTTGAAAGGTATCATGAGTTGTATATGTGTTGTGTGAGTTATGGAGATATTTGTTTATTTTTATTTCTTAACCTAGGCTCACATGATGTTTAAAGACATGATTATATAGCTTATAAGTTTATTGTTCAAGTACTAAAATGATATGTTCCATTATTGCTTCCTTGAGATATTACAAGTTGTTATTCTTATATAACCTTCATGCTTGTGAATTGCTATATCACATGCTTAGGACTTACTTGAGTTGTGTAAATACCATTTCTTAGTTTAATGATCTTACATGGATACTTATATTCCTTAAATTGTTAAGATGAGTAGAGACTCTTAATGCTAGCATGATGATAGTCTAGTGTCTGATATCTTAATGTTAGCTTACTTGTCATTTTGCTAAACTCATGTCATGATTTAGCATTGAGGGCCTTAGGACATGTTATGCTTGACTGCCACTACTTATGTACGCATGTGTAGACACTAAAATTTTAGTGGGCTTTGGTTTTAACAAATGGACCTATTAAATATGGGCCTAATGTTTAATTAAGTTATTTAATTGGCCCAAACTTGGTCCACTTAAATTATTTAATTAGCCCAGCCCAGATGGTTAAATAAACAGATAATTATTCCTAATAAAATATATTTGGAATAATTATTTTTAAGGATAATTATCATAATATAACCGGCCCGACCTAGTTATAATTTTATCCTTATCAGGAAATGACACGTGTCATCATCTTATCAACCTAAGAAGCCTATAAATAGAAGCCTGGAAGAAGGAGGAGTAGCTACACAAATTTAGAGTCCAGAAATCCAGAGACTCAAAAATCCATAAGGTACACAAATTCAGAGTCCAAAAATCCAGAGACTCAGAAATTGAGAGATTCAGAAATTCAGAGGGCAAACCTGAAGGCAAAGAACACCAAACACATCCAAAGTCGTGCTGTTCTTCACTAAATTCAACAAATCCTCTCTGAAGATGAAGAACAACAAGCACATCAACTCGTGCCATTCTTCATCCAAATTTCACGATGATTAACAAAAAGCACATCAAATCGTGCCGTTCTTCATCCAAATTCTACGGTGATTCAAGATCAAGCTCGTGCAGCCCTTGGATCCAACCAACCAAAAAGAAGATCGAATCAAAGGACCTTATTCTTTATAAAGATTATTACAGAGGATTGTACTCCATCTTTATAAATTAATAAAAATCTATTTGCTCCCAATTTTGTTTTTATTGCAGACTACAAAATTTGTGTGTACAAATTTCTAGCACGCCCGGTGGGACATCCTCTGCCTTTCATTTCTTTCTCCTACATCAAATCCTCAACAAATTCATCATCAGATTCTATAATTTCCAATAAGATTCAAACGAAGAACAAGAATACCACCAAAGACATCGCGGTCATGACGGACAACATCAATACCATCACAAAAAGTGGCAAGAAGGTTGCAACTTCGTTAAATGGTACAAACACCTTTACAAGTTTGATGATGTGGAGCATGGTCAAATCATCCGTTCCTACCAAAAGACAGCACGATGCGATGAGAGTCAATTCTGCCAAATCTGTTAAAGTAACAACTAAAACTCATACTGCCTTCACCTCGCTGGGGGCAAAACGGAAGGTTTCTACAACCTCAAAGGTTGCTCCAGTCACAAGTTCAAGTTCCACCTCGCTGGGGGCAAGGAGGAAGGTTCCTACAACCTCAAAGGTTGCTCCAGTCACAAGTTCAAGGCTGGTCCACCCAAGGCCAAAGATTTTTTCTGACTCCATCACTATGCCAGTCATGATGACGAGTACTACTTGTATGAAG